CAATGCCCGTGGAGGACAGAAGAGGCTGTTGGATCCCCTGGAACTGGAATTACAGACAGTTGTTAGCTGCCATGTGGGTGCTGGAATTCGAACCCAGGTCTTCTGCAGGTACAGTGTTCTTAACCACTGAGCAGTCTCTCCAGCCCCTTAAGTTTTATTTTTAAAAAGCTGTTGGCCAGGGGGCTGGAGAGATGGCTCAGTGGTTAAGAGCACTGACTACTCTTGTAGAGGACCCAGGTTTGATTCCCAGCACCCACATGGCAGCTCCGAACCGTCCTTAACTCCAGTTCCAGGGGAATCTGAAGCCCTTTTCTGACCTCCAAGGCATTGCATGACACAGGTACACTCACTTACATGCAGGCAATACATCCATACACATAAAATAAAAATAGTAGTTGTTGGCAGGCCGGATATGGTGGCACACATCTTTAATCCCAGCACTTGCGAGGCAGAGGCAGGCGGATCTCTGTGAATTCAAGGCCAGCCTGGTCTACATAGTGAGTTCCAGGACAGCTGGGGCTACAGGGAGACCCTGTCTCAAAAAGACCAAAAAAAAAAAAAAAAAGTTGTTGGCCAGGCATGGTGGCATACACCATAAATCCTAGCACATGGGAGGCAGAGGCAGAGCAGGTGTATCTCTGTGAGATCAAGGCCAGCCTGGTTTACACAGCACATTCCAAGTCAGCAAGGGCTAGTGAGACCTTGTCTCAAAAAACTGAACAATAAATTGTGTGTGTGTGTGTGTGTGTGTGTGTGTGTGTGTGTGTGTGTGTGTGTGTACATGCTCATGTATGCATGTGAATGCTCAGGACCTCCCTGGAGCTGGAGTTCTAAGCAGTTGTAACCCACTTGACATGGGTGCTGGGAACAGAACTCAGGTCCTCTGCAAGAGCAGCAAACTCTAACTACAGAGCCATCTCTCCAGCCCTCATTTATTTGTTTTTGAGACAGAGTCTCATGTATCCCAAGCTGGCCTCAAGGAATGCTGCATCCAAAGATGACCTTGAACTTGTCATCTTCCTGCCTCCACCTCGTGACAGGATCATAGGTTTGAGCCACTGCATCTGGCTACTGAGTCAGGCTTTCTATATTGATCTTTTCAACCCCTATAATGGTCCTATAATGAATGCTGGACCCAGTTTGCAGATTTGAAAATAAAGGCATTTACCCAGAATTACAGAGCTTATAGGGGTCAAGATTGGCCAACAAACTCTTCCCCTTCGTGGGCTTCCTATCACCCACATAACCTCTGAAAGGCAGACATTCAGATAGCCCATCTTGGCCAACACCTCTCTGCTGTTATTTAGAGCTGCGGACTCAAGGAGTTGGGGCAGCCAAGATGGCCACATCGAGAAAATGGAGCACTGATTTCCTACAGTCTCTCAGGCCTCCGAGAGCCAAGCTGGAGCTGGTCAGGGACAAAGAAAGACATATGGTGCCTCTGGCAAGCACCCAGCCTTGGATCTCTGAAAGGACCCAAAAGGGCTTTGTATAGATGAAGCCAGCCCCACGCTGAGGACCCAGCCCCTGTGAGCCCCAGAGGTACAGCTGCAGGTTCCTAAACTTGGGGCTGGGTAGATGGCTTAGATAGTAAAGTATGTTCTGGGCAAATGTGAGAACCTTGCACTTGGATCCCCAACACCCCAGTAAAAACCTGGCCAGAGTGGTACTGGGGAGGAGGTGACAGGAAGACCCTGGACTTAGCCCAATCCACAAGCTCCATGTTAGGTGAAGAGCAACAGAAGAACTCCATGCACATGTATGCATACATACACATACACACCAAAAGATTTCAAACATCCCAAGAAGGGGTGGGAAAAACCATGGTCCTTCTGAAAAGGACCCTAGCTAGGTGTGGTGGCACAAGCCTGAAGTCCCAGCATTTGGGGAGGCTGAAACTGGAAGATCAAGAGCTCAAGGCCAGCCTCAGCTGCATGGTGAGTTCCAGGTTAGTCTGGGTACCTGAAACCCTGTCTCAAACCAACAACACTAGGATCCAGCTTTTGTGTTGATCACAGACTCCCAAAATGCCAGCAGAGGCTCTCCATTGTGGGGAGAGGGGGAAGTAGGGGAGTTGCGGGCATTGTTGCTCTAAGAAGCCCTTATAGACAGCCCCTCCCACCTCTTTATAGCCCACCTGGCCCTCACTCCTTTTTTCCAGGAACAGTCGCAGGCCTGTCCTCTCCTGTCCATCACATTAGGCCGAAGCATGGCCTCCTAGGGGCAGTCCGCACAGATGCTGGACAGAGCTGTGCACTCTACCCCGGGTGCCCCCACCGTCCCTAAGAGCCCTCAGTCCACCTGTCCCTTCCCTTGTCTTTCTAAACTCTAGCAGACCCACAGCACAGCGCACTAGAGTCAGGGAGCATTGATTTCTGATCTCCAGCCCTGGCCCTGCCTCCTGAGCTCCAGTTGGAATATCTGGGCTTTTCAGAGTTGTTCCTATTCTTGAAGCTAGCCAGGGGACAGGGCCTGGCCTGGGAGCTGCGTTTTGTGAGTTTCCCGCCTCCCCCCGACCCCCAATTCCAGAATGAAGAATTGGGGGCCCTATAACTCCAGCAGCAGTAGTGGGGAGGGCGCCCTGGGGGCCAGTGGGATGCCAGGCCTGTCACTATGGCAACAGCCAGCTCCTGGGAAGCCAGAGGTGTGTGTGGGGATATGGGACTGCCCCGCCCCCGTGCAGATGCTGGCGGGGGGGGGGGGGGGGGGGAGAGAAGAGAAGCGGGCCCAGCCTGCCCACCCACCCGGCTTTGTTACCCGATTCCCTCTTTACAAAGCCCGAACAATACCCCAGGCACTCACAGAAAGGGAGACTATGAGAAGGGCTGGGAAAGGACGGCGGGAGGTCACCACCAGTGCCCACCCCCACCGGGAGCTCCTCAAAGCCCCACCTCCCTGGAAGATGCCAGCCTTCCTGGGGGCCTTGGCTGGGGTCCACTACGGGAAGAAACAGCCCTCTGCCCTGAATTCCCACCCTCATCCCTCCCTGCCTTGGACCTTCCTACCCTTTCAAGGATGAGCCCCTGCTCCACTTCCAGACCCCAACTCAGTTCTGATATGGCCCCTGTCAGGATGACCCCCCACCAGCTCACTGACCCTGGTGACCATCTGGTACCTTGCAGCCAGCCTGCTGCACCAGAGCCTGTTTTCCCTGGAGCCTGGGGCTTCAGGAGGAAAGGCTTGGTGCCATGCGCTGCAAAATTTTGGCATGTGGCCTAGAGTAGGTTCCCATAAATGCCCATTGTGTGAAAAGAATATCTGAATGAGAGGGATCATTAAAAATGCTGAGAGGGAACAGAGAGGTGGCTCAGTGGTTAAGAGCATTGGTTGCTCTCCTAGAGGACCCAGGTTCTGTTCCTAGCACCTACATGGTGGCTCACAACCATCTGTAGCTCCAGTTCTACAGGATCCAACACCCTCTTCTGACCTCCATGGGTACTGGACACATGTGCACATACATGTAGGCAAAACACTCATAAAATAAAAAAATTAATTCTTAAAAAAATATTTGGTCCAGGTGTGGCGGCTCATGCCTTTAATCCCAGTCTTCAGGAGGTGGAGGCAGGAGGGTCTCTGTGGGATGGAGGCCAGCCTGATCTACATAGTGAGTTCCAGGCCAAATGTAGCTACAGGCAGACCCTGTCTCAAAAAGCCAAAAAAAAAAAAAAAAAAAAAAAAAATAAAAAAGGGGGGGGGGAGGGGTTTGGGGGGGAAAAAATTTTAACACAAAAAGGGGAAC